GTGGTGGTGGTGGTGGTGGTGGTGGTGGTGGTGGTGGTGGTGGTGGTGGTGGTGGTGGTGGTGGTGGTGGTGGTAAAGCAACTTCCGTGTCCTCTTGACGGGGGACATTCAACAAAAGTGTAAAAGGCCACTGCACACTAGCAGTTAATGCCACGAAGTATTCATGTAGACCTCCTCGTTTGCTTAGAAGTCTATTAAAACTATGAAAAGGCATGGATTTGAATAGGAACCAAAAACAGCACCTTACTCAACTCCTAAGAACGTCCGAGCCAGACAGGAGCGAATTCGTCACGACATCGTCATCCAAATAAAGCAATGGAGGAAACTGGGTAATAGGCCTGTTTTCTGATCAGTTCAAGCAGAAAAGAAAATTACAAAACGGGCGGCGAAATTGGCTCACTTCGACCACGTCTTCAGCGGTTCGAATTTATGGAAAATACTTTTTTTCAAGGCTAAATTAAATAACCTAACCACAAGAGCTGTTAGCGTTACACGCTTGTCTTTCGAAATCACGCACACGACATTGCCTGAGGGCAACTTCGCCGCAGCAGCAGGAAGATGAGCCAATGAGAGTCCAGCTTTACCAGACAAGGGCTGGAGTCACCAGACAGGCGCATGCACAACCGACATCGGGAAGCCATTCGTCATTGACTAGACCACTGTTCCAGGGGCTGGAGTCACGCAAAAATTACCACGACTTTGGGGGCGACAGCACGATGTTCTGCTGTGGAAACGAGTAACAATGCCAAGGCCAATGCGCTGTTAGCCTTAAGTGCAGCGATCCTTCTGACCCACCCCAAAGAAAAAGCTGTTTTTCTTTCACGAAATTCTTGGCGGCACAATGCAACTTTAGATTCGCGTTGCCGGGTTAATTTTAACGCCGCATCAACAACTACAACTGCCTGGGTGTTCGATGAACGCCTCCAAGGATGGCGGTGCTTTGAGACACCACCAGAAGGCGACTTCTGGTGCCTTCTGACCAACTTTGCCAGCCAAGGGGCTTGAGACCAAGGAGGTGGCTTACCCGATAAACAAGTTGTTCGATATGTTGTCCAGGTGGCCGCGATACTTCAGCCATGGGCCCGCGGCCGAGATGTGGTCGGTGGTGCACTTGCCCTTCACCTTGATCAGGATGGGCATGTCGAGGAGGTCCTTGCCGTCCCACCTGGCGAACGGCTCCAGCACCTGCAGACGCTCGCTTTTGGGGTCCACGATGACCTTGAGGTCGGAGCCGTCGGCGGGTGGCGGCTGGTACAGGGGCTTCACGGACTGGAACCCACTTTGTGGTAGGGTGTCGCCTGTGATCAAGAAGAAAAAGGTCCCAGCGTGAAGGCGTAAAAACAGTCATGCGTGCTGATGCCAAAATAATTAGAAATTCAGTTAGCCCTGTTAACACGTGAGGAGTTAATTAGTTCTAGCAGCAGCAGCAGCAGTAAGGAGGTTGTGTGCGTAATTTTCCATAAGAAACAATACACGCTGGTCTAAGCATCCCGTCTACACTGCGAAAACCCGACCAAATTTAAATAACGAAAAAAATACCACGAAATGGTGGCAATCGTCTTTCAAAACACGTCACCATTTTCACCAATATGTCCTCCAACTAAACGTACCTTCAAAATCGCAACCCTGTTAGCACCTGTTTTCGGACCAACGTAACTTCCTTTCCAATAACCGGACTGGAATCACTAGAATGCGTTGGTGAATAGCTCTTGGTAAAGAGAATCAATGTCACCGCACTTAGACAATCTAAGTACAAGTATTCAACATCGGTACGCCGACGCATTCATCAGCATTGCGATAGATCTGTACTGGGTCGCCACCGCATTTTTTTTCGTAATTACGGTGCTCTGTAAGTCGAACCTCGTCGACTTTTACTGGCTTGTCCGGTGTTCCAGTCAGACTTCCTCTTCTGGCGGCAGATTCTACCTCGAAGCGTACTTCCGGGCAGCAATAATCGAACCAGTCAGCCACAGTTTTGCTTGTCACCTCCACCAGTGTAATTCTGTTGCTCCAAAGACAACCTAGCTAGCTACCTCCAACGTTTCACCGAGCTTCAAACCGCAATGGAGTCGTCTTCCGTTCAAAGCACAATGACAAACTGTCAATTCTTTCTTCGGTACATCTGTGCCTGCACATTTTGCCGCCTTTCGTGGACACCATCGACACACCATTTCAGCACAAAGCCCTCGAAGCAAAAAATGTTGATAGGCAGGGACAGAATGGGAGAGCACGAGTCACACTATAGCAGCACCAGGTGCACTACCGACCAAATATGCCGACTGCACTCTGACAAACACACAAGGCATCACGAAACAAGCCAGGCGGGCAGTGAATGGTCACGTGATACAAATAAGATTTACCGACGGTGTTTTGGGGCAAGGAAACTTGAAATGTAAACACATGTGCGCGCGCGCTCGTGGGATCGTAAGAGGCGGATAACTGCACAGGCCAGCCTCACCGCACCACGCAGACACACCCATCCAGTGAATCACGTGATCGCAGGCTAAACCGGGACACGATATATACACGTCAACGGAATGCAAGGACACAGAGACGGACATGAGAAAAAACGCCTAGTGCAGAACACGAGTCGAAACAATATCCCTGTGAGATTCGAGGTTGAGCCAAAATGCGACCGGTGTGACTGATTTTGGAGATTTCCGCAAGAAACGCCTGGCGTTTGTTCCGGGAGTGAACGACGCTTGGTAATTTATAAGAAAGTGTGCCATACGCCCCAAATCTGTGAACGAGCACCCTCCTCCTCCTCTTGAGTTGCCATGGTCAGCGGTGAAAATTGCTCTATGCTGATCACACAACCACAAACGAGACTTCAGTTGTTACCATTCGTGGTGAGGGCTGCTTCCCGTATTTATGGGGTCTGACGTGACCCACGCCAGGCGACGCCACCACGACGCGTCGCTTAAATTCCGTCATGCTGCAATTTACGTGGGAAAAAATTAAGCTAGGCACGCGAGTGTGCAGGCAGTGGAAGAGGACCTGATTGTGTTGACTTGTGATCGGTCTGCAAGCAACCCACATCCCAGCTGATTTGCTGGTTGTCAAGGTCAAACAAGAGGTACGTGAGGACAAGTTAGCGCGGCAAATATGACGCGATTTACATCGTAGAAATGCATAAAACGAGGGAACTAGTCCATACGGAGGGTGCCAGTGGCGGATAAAGTGAAATTTACTGTTACACTCTTAAGAGAACAGCACGAGAGCGACGTGCACGTACCTGTCGGTGGGTGGAGTTTGAACTTGGAGCCGTCAGCGGCAGTGAGGTCATCGGTGATGGGGTTGAATCCGAGGTCACCAGCAAGGACGAGAGCCGTGACCACTTCCGGTGAAGCGACAAACGCGTGAGTTGCCGGGTTCGCGTCGTTGCGTCCGGTGAAATTGCGGTTGTAGGACGTCACGATGGTGTTCCTGTCGCCCTTCTTCTTGTCCTATAAAAACGAGGTGAAAAAAAAACAGCCAAAGACGTCTATCACAAACTGCCGGCTTGGTTTCATGGCCGTCGTTTAAGGGTTGCAACCGAGAGCTCACTCACACGTCGAGCCCACTGACCAATGCACGGTCCGCACGCGTTGGCCAATACGAGCCCGCCAATTTCACGAAAGACGTCGGCCAAGCCGTCGCGTTCGATGGTGGCGTGAATCTGCTCGCTGCCCGGTGTGATGGTGAATTTCGACTTGGCTTTTACGCCGTGATTTATGGCCTGCCTGGCGATACTCGCGGCCCGAGACATGTCCTCGTAAGATGAGTTGGTGCAGGAGCCAATTAGACCCACAGATATCTCCATTGGCCAACCAGCAGCTAAGGCTTGTTCTTTAAGCTAAAAGAGGGAAAGGGCATCAGCATATTCCCAAGTACACGTCATAGTGATGTCTGATGATGCCAGATTCAAAGTCCATACACCACGTCGACCCGTCCAAAACCGAGTCAGCTAATTGGCCACGACACTAAAAAAACGGCCAAATCATACCGAGCCTTAGAAGACTTAGATCCGATTGGTTGTGTAGGGCAGTCGAGCATGAGAAAAATCGGACCAAAGAACGGCAGTTAGTCCAGCATTAACATTGGTTTGGTGCGGTCCACGAGATGAGGATGGGAATTGTACTGCTCTGGTGTGACTTGCTCGGAGCCAAATCCAACCATTCAACGTAGACGTGATAACCAAAACGCCCACTTAATCAAATGGCTAGACACGCAACCGTCCACAGTATCGACAACAGCTAGTTTATTACGTAGAATTAATAGCCAAGAACCTGTTATTAACAATAACACTAGCAGAAGTCCCGCCCAGGCCCCTTCGCGGTTTGCTTTTCGCGGGCTTTGCAATGGATTGATGGCAAATTAATTAAGGGCACATAGCCAGGACCATTAGTCTAACAAGCCAATAGTTTTGCCCTTCGAAACGCCATTGGCTGATTCTGCACAATAATTCGCGGGAATGCGAATTTCACGGGATCTCGGTACTCAAGGCATTACCGCACTTTCACAGGTCAATATTGGTAATCTTATTCCACCTCTCTTGAGCAAATGTGCAAGTCTAAAACGAGGGTGGTTTTATCATAAACTAATCTGTGAGACAGATTCAGGCAACTGTCCCGCTAGGAGGGCTTCCTCGTGAAGAAACTGCTCCAACAAATTCGATCCTGCTGCTGAGATCATGTGATGTCACAGTGGGCGATTATGAAGTAAGTGGAAGTTCAGGTCACATTCAGGGGTTGCGGTTTTATTTGGGATTCAAAACCTCGTCGTGGAATAGACGAGGTTTGATCAAATAGAAAGCACGTACCGCCCTCGACGACAGTTTGTTGAAAGAGAAATACACTACTCTTCCCATTCCCTAATCGGAAAGCTGTTTGTTAACCTCGCATCCCTTCTCTCCGCACATTGATCACTTGTTTCAAATACCATCATACTATAGGCCATAAAGTTATAAGCTTTGGCACTAATTCTCACACCACTTGCTTGGGATCGGAGTCAACTTCTGGCAAACACAAGATGCCAGAGTTGATCCATCACAAGGACCGAAATCACAGGGCAATTGGAAGTGTAGATGTCAATAATTGGCGACACCAGTGACAAAGGTGCGGCAGGGATATACCTGGAGGAAAGCGCTAGACGTCGTATGCACAATCTATTCTCCCAGTCCCCAAGGCTCAAATCATATGCCTGCAAACGCTCGCAATAAATTTACGCCTTCTCGTAAGTACTGCAGGTCAAGACAAACGTACCTTGGAAATTGGGTGACCGAGGTCAGGTGTGTAAGGCCCATTCACATGAGGCTCCAGTTTGTCCAAGTCGATATGGATGACACGGTCGTAGACGCAGTTTTTGTCGGGCGAAAGTAGTTTGGTCTGAAGAGGGTAGGCAATGTGAGGATCTCGTTGAACACCCAAGTGACATCACACACCCCTGACACTGCGTAGTGCCAAGCGATGTGATAGACAAACTGAGCCCTGCGCATGCTCACGTCGACGGTGGCTGATGCGTGGCTCCAAACACATACCTGTCAACCCTCGTATCACGTTAAACTGATGAAACAAATTACCTGCCCGTAACTTCTTCGACACACAACGCAATAACAATGGTTGTAATTTCAAAAAACCAATGAAAAATTGACGATGGGTGGGCAATTTGTTGCATTAATATTAGGCAAACAAGGCCTTACTTTAGACAGGATGAAATTCCAATGTGTGTCAGTAGCTTAGAAAGCCTGTAACGTAAACGTGTGTGTGTGTGTGTGTGTGTGTGTGTGTGTGTGTGTGTAGGGTGAAGCGCACACGTAAACACACCAAAGTGATAGTTTACGGAACCTAGGAGTTGAGTTCACATGGTCCTTTGGCTCATCTTTAGAAAACCCATATCGTAGATAAAGAGGAAAAACCAATAATGAATTAAGCGATTTCATTAAATCCTAAGACCAGAGCATGTGTATAGGTGATTAGGGGTCTAAACTTCATCCCAGTCAACCTTGGGCAAAAATAACAAGCTTAAAGACGGGTAGGATTGCAGATGGAAACAGCAGCTCCAACTTAAAGAAAATACTGCATTCTCCAGACCAATGAAGGTAACGATTTGACGGAGCCATTACTTACAATACATTTACAGTAATTTTATAATAATACTCCAAGGAATAAAAATTAGGTGGTTCGGTGATATGTATTAAATAATAACAATATTGATATAATGCGACAAAAAATTGACGGACTGAGGGGTTTCCAATCAAGACCATATCCGAAATACCTTCAACTTTATGAAGTCTAACAATTTGAGTTCAAGAAAGCACAACCAGAGTGGGCAGAATATCATGGAATTGCTAATTTCGTCGAGAGTTTAAGAAAATTGACCTGCTTAGCGCTGCTGAATGGTGGGACTGCATGAATGAGCGGCAACACAAACACGGTCATACCTTGTAGTTTGAAGCGAGCTGAGCAATATCTTTTCGGCCAGTTGCTTGCAAAAAGTCGACCATCCTGTCGTTAAAGGGAAAAACGGACGTCGTAGCTCCTATTTCGGCGCCCATGTTACAGATGGTGGCCATGCCGGTACAAGAGATGGAGTCCACGCCTGGACCAAAGTACTCGATTATGGACCCGGTACCGCCCTTCACCGTTAAAATATCAGCAACCTGTAGAAGAACGTCGGCAATGAGAAAGACAGAGTCGCGTCGATAATCTCGGTCAGAATCTAGTGATCAACTTGCCTTTAAAATTACGTCTTTGGGGGAGGTCCAGCCGGACATCTTCCCAGTAAGTTCGACACCAATTACTTTTGGGCACTTGAGTTCCCAACTTAAACCAGCCATAACATCCACGGCATCGGCCCCACCAACTCCAATACAGAGACCGCCAAGTCCTCCACCATTTGGCGTGTGGCTGTCAGTTCCGATAATAAGAGCACCAGGGAAGCAGTAATTTTCCAGCATAATCTAATAAACAAATGCGGTGTTTGTAAAATTTGATTCAGTAGGGACTTATTTCAAATATATGTATATTTATGTATTACTTGATGTATGATACCAGAACCTGGATGCCAAAAGCCAAGTCCATATTTGGCCGAAGCAGAAGCGAGGAAGTCATACACCTCTTTGTTGGTTACTGTTGCATCGAACAAATCTTTGTGGCTGCCCTCGCGTGCAATTATCAGGTGATCACAGTGAACAGTGGAAGGAACCGCCACACGCGGTAGACCGCTTGACATGAACTGGAGGATGGCCATCTGTGCAGTGGCATCCTGCAAAGTGACACGATCAGGAGAGAGGTTCAGGTAACTGGAGCCACGAACAATATCCTAAACTGGAGTAAATATGTCAAGCAAAACTCAGACCTTAGTCTTTGGATCAGATAAATGGCTATATAAAATCTTTTCTGAGAGCGTCAATGGACGACACAGACTAAAGAAACATGTAGGAAAGAACGAGAGCATACGTTTCGTTGACGCATTTAAGCGAATGGTAGTACTTGTCATAATCTAGAACCTCCGAATCAAAGGGACTTAAGCTGACAGACATGTTCCGAGCTTCAAAACGAAAAGTAAGGGGCATTAAGTGGCGGGCTCGAAAGAGTGCACAACGCAACATTACTGATTTTTTAATGCAAAACCACGAAATCTAGGCACACAATATCAAATAGCCTGCCAAAGGGCCAAATTAACGTTTAGGTAATAATTGACTTATTAAAACGTCCTTTTATCATTTTTTGTGGGCTAATGTAAGTGCATTAAATTCTTGCTTTCAACGCACTAGCATTAGCAACAACTTTTTTTCTACTTAGAAAATTTTAATTGCAGTAGTCTCTTCATTAAATTCCCTTTATGATTGTGAGGCATTATAACTCAAGTTTGCGATGTTGATATGTCGTTATTGACATATTCGTCAAGTGCATAAGAAATCTTGACGGAATAATTAAGACTACCATTGAAATCTTTGTGAGGATGTCAAACAGAGCTTTAACGAGATGTATTTAATGCAAATTCATATTCATTCTCATGTGTTTTCAATCGAATGTTGTAACTTAAAAGGCCTTTCTCCTATAAATGGATTTTTTCTGTCAACTACATAAACCAGTGATGACAAATCTTTTTTTCAATTTTCATGACGAAGCAATTACTGTGATCAATAAAAAATTAAATTTTTTGAAAATATTATATGTGTAGCCATGTAAAACATACCAAGGGTTCATTTTGTTCTTAGCGTTTATTGGAGAACAAATTGCAGTCATGCAAAGCACCAAATTCATAAACTTCCGGTAACAATCTTGATAAATAATAGGTGTCACCGTTGTCCACTGTTTCACGCTCAATTGTCAAGAAGACTTTCCTCATGCATTATTCCTATTCATTTACTGAATTGGTTTAAACAACCTAGCCCATTCTCACCTTTTCACTCATCTTCAGAATGAAAACAAAGCACGTACTTGTACATACCGATGCGACCCTTCAAGTAATGAGGGTTGTGACCAGATTCGCTGATGACTTGCTTAGGGACTCTAATTTAATCCCCTCTTTTGCCTTAGTGGTGCAGTTTATGGTCTGCACGCTGTAAAGATGTAGCAATCTGCAAGTATCCAGTGCTGGAATCGGCCCATGGCTTACGTCGTTTTTATTTAGTTTGGTCAATTACTAGGCACGATTCATCCCTCATGCCACCGAAATTATATCTACACGGAATGGCTTGCTTCAAGAGAATTCCAAGAAAATAATGATTACCCAGGAGGCTAAAACTGCATTTCAAACTATTACCAGCTTATCCTTAAGCATCAACTGACTCAGACTTGCTTCATCACATTCTTTGTAAAATTATTGGGGATCCAGTTCGGTTACCGACTGTACGGACATGCTTTTACAAATTTGACCGACCATTAGTTGTTAATTCGCCCTTTTTAAACAACGTTTGACTGGTATTTCCCACGCGAATCCAACGGGCTTGATTATGTTTCAAAATTCAAAACCAGTTTCTCCCACGTGGATGGGATTGACGACGTCGTAATCGACGCAGTCTTTCAATTGCATATTCATTAACTGTCAGTTCCTGATGTCAGTTTTAAATATTCAGCTGTGGCAGAGAAATTTATTGCTGGATGCCGTGAGCATAGACCGTCTAAAAGTAGCCTACACGGACGATAGCAACGTATCTCCCCCATTCCCAAGCTTCTACATTCCCCGTATCCCCTACCTTCCTTTACAGCCCGCTTCGGTCTACTGAAAGCGTACAGTCGTTTTCGAGGGTTTACCGTATCTCATAACCGTCACCTTGAGGAATCACATTTAGTGGACTGTCAGCGAACACGCGTGAGTGAAGCTTGCTTCTACTATGGAACCTCCTAACCGCGACCTCATGCCCGGGGCTCACTGCGTTGAAACTACTTTGGTAGCGCTTTTTTTCCGTCTTTAGCTGCAAGTCAACAGTATCATACAGATGTTGCGTTATTAATTATCCACATTTGCTGAAATTTTACGGTTATACATGATTCGCCATGATGTTCTTCATTTACTAGGTGCGCTGTGATTCAAAAATTTGACTTTTGACACTTGGACATCTGCGGTTCCTTCACAGAACCCCCTTGACCTGATCCACACTACCACCAAACAATTCTGAATGGTTTTTTTTGGGTGGAGTGAAAGAAGCAGATAATCTTTTATTTACTTGGATACTGGCATCAATTTCGCCAACACGGGTTCATCACTTCTGTTCAGAAGCTTTCGGTCCTTTCCTTGTATATATACTTCGCATACCTTCGCGTTTCTCATTGGCTCCCAATCTCAATCGTAGGTCATTAAAATGCACAAAGGCAAATGATTGGCTGAGCTCATTCCGTGATCCAATATGATTGCGGTCGATACTAGCACTACAGTACAGCCAAACCAACATTATGGTGATTTTGAAAAGTTAAATTCGGGCCGTACTATTAGCATTCCTGATGATTCTGTTATGTTTACCCATAACAAAGAAAAAACCACTCAAATAATGGTACCAGATTCCTTGGTGACGCTAGAACCGACCTTCCTACGCCAATACAAGAACAAGACCAGAGCTCGTGTAGAGAGCTTTAATTACGTCAGCCACGTGCGGAGTGAGTTGTCAAAAGTGAAACTAATTCGAGTCAAGGTTGACCTTGACCTGGTAAAAAGCGTAATAAAACACCTGTTAGGGAATTAGTGTGAATAGTGCGAGAAACCAACGACGAGCACTCTTGAGGTATCATGGATCTCCAACAGATTCACACAAAACATTACCACCCCAGCTTGTTGTGTTTTACAGTTCATGGTAGCATTTCACTCCAATGTAACCACTAGACCCCGTTTATGTAGCAGACGAGATGCGTGGTAGCATTTGTCGCTAGGCGTTGCGATTTAAGTGGACAATGGATTGACCATTAGTGGAAACGAATAAATGGCTGTGCCAATTACATCTCCCTTGCGTAGTTAATGAGGCCTTATTTAGTATCGGAGTATCGAAGTTGATTTGTAAATTATCATTTGTAAATTTAGTATCTATGTATTGTCTTTTCTCGAAACCCCTCATATGTTCCAATTACCACACGCAGCTCTTGAAGTCGTGCAAATGAATGGCTCTTCAACCGGAATGGACGCGCCCAAGATAGCACCAACCAATTGCCTTTAAGGGGGTTAATGTGAATGTGAGCATAACGTTTAAATCAACACCACCGCGCCAGCCACTGGCTATTCTCTGATTAACGCGACCAACGAATGCAGGTTAGACTAATTAGAGAACGAATAAGCTGCTTCGAGTTTCGATCGGGTTCAGGGGCAATAGAATACCGACTTTTACATTAATTAATCATTGAGTAATTGCAAAGGTTCGCAACTGACTTAAGCCCAAATTAAATGTAAGGCACTGTCATGTAAAATATGGGTTATTAATCAATACTGTACTCTCCATCATGGCCTATAACTGCTCAATGCTTCTTTTGACTAAACTACGTGGCTTCTCTCCAGAGAAGGTCGTAATGTAGCTTAGGCCTTCACCATGGAATCAAATTGTTGCAATTCACAGTATTTTGCTGTAAACGAATCAAATGAAAATCAAGGGGATCAGAGGCAGAAGGTGTTTTTGTGTGTTTTTGTAGGGTCTGTTGAACGACGTGTGATCTAGCGACGTCACGGTGAATAATAATAATAATAATAGTGAAATTTCGATTGAACAACTTTGCGCATTTTCTCTGCAATCCCCCCACCTGTTACGTTTACCCGTCACAATAGAGAATACCACTCAAATAACGGTACCAGATCCCTCGCTGAAAGCTAGAACCGTCCTGCCCAGGCTAATACCAGAACAAGACCAGAGCTCGCGTAGAGAGCTTTATTCACGTCAGCCACGTGCAGAGAAGAAGTGAAATCGGAAGAAATTCAAGTCAAGGTTGACCTTGACTTGATAAAAGCGTAACAAAACAAATGTTAGTAAATTAATGTAAATAAAATCAGAAACCAATTTTGGGGAATCGTGGATCCCCAACAAAATTGCACATTACCAAGTTGTATGACACACAACATCACCTGCATGTGATACAGCAGTTCACAATTTGCCATAGAATCTGACCTTTTAACTCCATGCAATGCTGATTTTCTTACTGTGTTGTTAAAGCACAGCTGTAACTTCACACCCGAAGTGTCCGTTTCGTTGGTGCGCGAGGGAGGAAATGGATGCGAGAGCACGGTTTCATTTTGCGCCATTCTGCCCACACCTGAAGACCAAATGCATCAATTTTCTAACTGCATCCAAGATGCTTCAAGTGGCTCGTCAATTTTAAGCGATCTCATCCGGGGTGATCAGTGAATTTTTATTACTTGTTGAACAGCACAAAGCTCTGCCTGCTGTTCAACCGGAAGTCATCATGTTGAAATCCGCCGAACCACTTTTAACCACCCTAACAGCAGGAGCACGACTTAAAATAAACTTGCTTAATGTTGTTTGTTGAGATTCAGCTGTCTTTTTTTGAACTCATATAATACGACGGGACGGAAATGTAGCGTTTCATCCGCGCACAAACTTTCTAAGGTTATTCTGACGCAGGACGCGACTAGATAGCTGTCTGAAGTAGTAGGTACAGCCAGTGGTGAAAGCTCCAATCGTTTACAAAAATCGGGCGCGAGCTTGACCAACCAACCAGCAGCTTCGGCCCATTTATCCCTAATAATGCTCTTTTTACTGTCGCCGACGCTCAAACACCCTTTTCGGCCACTTTAAAGGTCTACATTTTGCCAAATAGACGCGACAGCGCCCGCGCCACCTCGGCTGCAGCGCAGATGTCCGTGACAGAGTGCTGAACGCAAGATGACAGTGCTCCTCGTTCCTGAACACGTACCGCACAACTCAAATTCTCACCAGCCGAGACGTTTCCCCTTCTTTCATAACCACGAACAGAACTCGGAAATCCCGTAAAAACTCCGAGACACCTTAGGAACCCGCGCTGGGATGATTCTTCACAGCGTGTGTGTCACAAGTACCGGAACGGGAACCAATTGGAAGGGGAGGACATCAAATGCCTGGCCGGCAGAACAGGACGGAGACACCCCCCACCCAAGTCTTTCACAAGAGACAGGCATTATAAACGTGTGGTATATACTTTCGTTTGTTCTCTGTGTGCCAACACAATCACCGCAGCGTCTTTACACACACTCAAGAGGCAAGAGCACGCAAATCTCGATGGATCGGACGTCAACAGTTCGGACAGAAGTAATCGAAGTAATAGCAGTGGCGCTGACCAGACGAAGGAAGCAGCCACACGACGTCGCTACGACCAAAATGAAAAACACAAACAAGTAGGAAAATTTGGGCGGCGGGGCAAACTGAGTGGGAGGTGGTGGCAGGGAGAGGCGCATTGAGCTAGCGAAAGCCGATGTGTGCTCGGACAGTGTTGAGTACGTACGTACGTATAAAAAGTGGGCGAAGGGGAGGGAAGGGGGGGCAGGAAGAGACATAAACGGCACTGGTGGTGGTGGTGGTGTTATCGGCGGACATCATGTGTTGCCTGGGGTGCAGCAGTTTGCGTCTGCGGCTAGAAGTCCTTGTCCCAACCCGACATCTCGTCCGGCGGAAGGTCATCGGTCACGGGGAATTGGTCGAAGTTGCTGAAGTCGCAAGGCCCAGAAACCTACACACGCAGACCAGGAGATGTGAATTGCAAAATCTTGGACGCTAAGCCAACGCCTACCGGCCAACCCCGACATCCAAACATCTTGAGTTTACCCGACAATTTTCTGTCAGTAATAACCTTGCGTCACGTGATGCGCAATTAACACGAAACCGGATAATTACATGCAGCACGTGCTGAGATTCGGCCATTTCTCGACTTAGATTACTTACATCACACCTCCGAAAAACCGCCTTATTAAAGTATACAAGATTGGTCCAATTAGAGCCAAGTTCTATTGGTCAACTCAAGGTCGGGGCATCCCAAAGCTTCATACGAAGGTACCACGGTTCAATTCCACAGTTCATTTCATGCTCCACAACATTTTTGGGTTTACTTTCTAACACCAGCCAATGATTAACAGCGGGAGGGTGGCCGATCGCATGACGCGCTGGCTGTGGAAACCGTTTGTCCGCTAAACCTACATTCGCTCGTTGACTCAACACCACCCCTCTACGTCAAGGCCACAAATTAATTTGGAATACTCACTTGCTAATAGCAAAAACTAAATAAACCTATGTGGCAAGTAGCTGACACTCAGGGATCCAGCCTAGTAAAACAAAAACAAACAAGGCGCTATTAGGGCGGAAGATGACGGAATCGTACCTTTGGCTGGAACGGTGATTGGAGGGTCCGGTTTCGTACGCCATCCCAATCGAATCCTTGGAAGTACCTAAAGAAGCAAAACGGGTTAAGCATCTGATGGTAACGATAATGGGTACAGTTTCACATTTTTTGGTACGACAACCAAAGCCTCAAAGTTGAGGAATTCAGACGTTACGACGAGCCTACCCGACTACCAGAGATTCGAAAATCAGGCAACCACAAAAGCCCTGTTGAAACAGGACTACTGGGTGCGTCTTGACGTAAAGAAGCAAGAGTAGCGAGAAAGCCGGTGACCAAGTCGATGCGTAAGTTCGTGCATAACCTTAAGCGAGAATTTTTTTCTAGCTACCACGCGAAATTTCACCGAATAAACGTGCTAACGCAAGTGAGATGTTAGGTAGCTGTCAAGGTGTCAAACCTTAGTGATTGTGGCACACCAATAACAAGAGCCATTCAAGAGCGCCAAGAGAGGACTGTGGTTGGTTGCCATGATTTTAAGCAGCCAATTTGTCCAAAGATTGCCCCGCACCAATAATTCGCAACGCAAGTGAACACCGCCTGCTACACACACCGACGCTCCAGGGCAGCAACGACGGACGGCTTAGGGACCCAAAATCTGTCAGTCATCTAAATCAACCACTCCGGGATTCAGAAAGTAAATGACGTTTAGCAGGAATTCCGCCAATCGAAAATCAAAAACAACAAATCGTTGAGCCAATGACACTGAAGCAGACGGTGATTGGCTAAATCTTGCGATTTTTCGCTCTGATGATGGCCAATCCATGCAGCAATGACTAATTCATCAGCTTTAATTATTCATTCAAAATTTTAAAAACGCATTCATACATGGACCTGAGAAAAATGGGGGAGAGTCACGCAAACAAGGTCCAAGTAACTAATCTGGGGGTCTATGGGCTGACTATGAAACAGAGGGAACTCGAAAAACGAAAATACCACACGTGAATATAAACGGAATTTCTGGGGCTCATGCGTTGCAACTAAGTTTCGCCTCATCTACACCTTTGAAACTGATTCCTCCTTAATGCTGTCCCACGGTTTGATCTACCGTAAATCACTCACCCACCAACTGATCATGCGTTCTCACACAACATCACGTCAACCGAATACGACGCCAGTTCGTGGTAACTTAAGTCTACGCCTGCCTCGCGTCTTCGTCCTCAATTCATTCTCGAATTCAACGTAGGCGAGTCCTCCAGCGGTACACGAAACCAAATAACTGGTTTGCATTTCTTGCATCCATCGCTTCTTTCTCATAGCTACAAATCACGTTATCTCGTGCTGATAGATCAAGCCCACCCCTACAAACCGGAGTACTGACACACCGAAGACCACATTGACACGACACCAAATGAGCAAGCACGACCAATACAAAGCTCTACGAGATGTTTTTGGGTCAAAACGCTTTGTGACCCACTAGTAAACGTCTTGACGTGGATAATTTTGGCTTTTTGTAAACATACGGAAGTTTTTGACAAGATACTTGCACGTGTGCATAACCTCAGTTCGAGATTCCGAATTTTAGCGGCATAGCTTACTTCTGATTGCGAATTTCCTGAATGCCTTGCCGACCCATGCCGAGGCGTTCAGTGGGCGTGTTTCGGCACAAGCGCTTGATGAACTGGTAGGCTTTGATGCTGATATTCTTGTGGTGACTCAGATCGTACGCCTCGATACCCCGCAGAGCTTTCATGTAGATCTTGATTGGCTCGGAGGCCTGGAATGGCGGTCTAGAAGTGGAACGGATTACATCTTGTCAACAAGTACACGTATTGATGACGATAAAGTGGTGGAGGAGGTGGTGGTGGTGGATAAGGTGGTGGAGGAGGTGGTGGTGGTGGTGGAGGTGGTGGTGGTGGCGGCAGAACTTACGTTCCGATAAGGAGTTCACAAGTCAGAATCCCCAACGACCAGTAGTCCGCGGCGAAATCGTGGCCCTTATTCAAAATGACCTCGGGCGCGACGTATTCAGGAGTGCCGCAAAACGTCCATGTCTTCCGCTGTGCATCAAGACGCTTTGCGAAACCGAAGTCGCACTGCGAAGGCAACACGACAACATCGATAATCTTTATAAACATAGGCTTCTGTGTTACGATTTATCAAAAAGCGTGTTTCTGGAAGGCGAAACAGAAGCAATCCCGTGGCAACAGATTTGGTGAAAATGACCGTTGACCGTTTTTACCATAAACACAACACAATACTCATTCAAGACTGCTGTTTGAATCGTTTTTTTCCACCAGGTAAAGTAGTCGCATATCTTCAATCACCAGGCCGATCTCACAAAACTCTCATCCACTTTAATCCCCAGATGCGTGATATTTCACCATCAATTCGTAGATTGATTGGGGAAGAGTCGATCAAACGGAACTTTCTCAATCATTAGCGATCACGATAAACATCGAAGGCCACATTCTGAACAAACTCGTCGCAAAACCACTGCGAAGAAAATTTGTCCACTGTTTCCACAATTGACACCTTTTTAGAGCGATTTCAAGCGTGAATCAGACGGTCGACTTAGACCTTCGGACTTACGACACACCTCAATAGAAGGGGCACTTAAAAACCTGTCAGGGAGAGAAGAGAGTAGGGCGCCGAGTACAACAGGCGCGACAAAACTCACGAGTTTAATGTATCCATTGCTAGTAAGCAGCATGTTCTCCGGCTTCAGATCGCGATAGATTATTCCCTGATGGTGCAAGTAGTCAAATGCCTCGATTACACAGGCCAAGCTAAAGCGCGTCAGCTTGTCGTCGAAGGCCCGTCTAAAAAAGGTGATGAGAGACATCAGTCGTGGGGCACTTCAACAAAACGGCTAGAACATACCCGCGGGACTAGAGGCAATTTGAAATTGTCCAATCGCAAAACTGCCTGGCGAATCGGCTTTAGTGATTAGTGTGCAAGCGCAGTGCAGTTTTGACAATCCGTTCAAAAAATGCTTGGTACATTAGTCAGAAGGGAGTTATTTACGCATCTTCCGCAGGCGTGGTTGATTGCGTAATCTTCCAATGTCGGAAGTCAGCTGTGCTTGTCAAGCCGAAGACGGTAGACAATTTGAACGTATTGAAACCACATCTCACAATGAACTATTACCACATTTCATTCGTTCGCGATTAGTACGTATTTTCACAAAAAAACTGATTTGATAAATCAACTATTGTAAATAAAATTTGCAACGAATGTTTGCGGTTCTGTACACGTTTACGCGCGTATTCCAGTCGCTTTTCCATGCTACAGCACAGTTAATCGTTGACATTTTGAAACGGCCACTTCTTACACATGGTCGCATTTGTGGAAGTTGCTAATTACGAAGAAATGACCTTCTACTACTTCCAGGGAACACTAATTAACGGAGTCTTTTGTTGTATAAAAAATCTGACCTTGAGACGACCAATAGAGTGCGACTTCGTTGGAACCAATCCTGTGCATCCACAAAAAATGTGACGGCGGGTATTTTGACATTTGAACACTACAACCTCTTGCACTCGACCGCATTCTTGCTTCATCAGTGCTGGTAAATCCAATTTGAATTCTGGATGATATAATTTGACAGACAAAAGCGTGAGCGTACTACGCAACCTCCGGATGATGGGGTTTTAACACGACGCCTTACTACCTGTGTGGGTACAAAGATCATAGTCGACTAATACGATTAGAGTGAATTCGGAAAAAAACACGCTAGATTCTATTAATGGCTTTGTAACCGCACAACAACGATAATCAGGTCCACCTAGCACCAAGTCAAAGTTCCACACCCACCGAGCGTTGACTGAAAAGAGCTGAAGGTAGCCCACATCGCAAAAATAAACAACCAATCAAAACCCGAGGAGTCATAGCCTATTGAGATGCAAGGTGGGGTTAGCAATGCCAAGACGAGGAAGGGAGTGGCGATCGCTCACCTGTCACGTAGAACCGTCCAGAGTTCACCGCCCGGGCAGAACTCCATCAGCATGTAGACGAACTTGTTGTCCCGGAACGTCTTGAAGAGCCTGCGAGCAAACAATACAGAAAAGATGGTAAGTATCAGCTACAACAAGGTCCTAGTAACCAATCTGGCATTCTATGGCGTGATCATGAAACAGAGAGAACTGGGAAAACGACAATAACACACGTGAATAAACGGAATTTCTGGGGCGCATACGTTGCAACTACGTTCGCCACTCACCCACCAACTGATCATGCGTTCTCACACAACATCACGTCAACCGAATACGACGCCAGTTCGTGGTAACTTAAGTCTACGCCTGCCTCGCGTCTTCGTCCTCAATTCATTCTCGAATTCAATGTAGGCGAGTCTTCCAGCGGTACACAAAACCACAAATCTGGTTTGCATTTCCTGCGTCCATCGCTTCCTTCTCACAGCTACAAATCACGTTATCTCGTGCTGACAGACAACCTTCAAAAGATTCTGACAAAGAGGTATCACACCAGACGTTTCGAAAAGTAAACTCTATGGTTTCAGTATGTGTGCAGACATCCTAGGCCTGGAACGAAAGTAACAAATCGATTCCACCTAAGGATGACATTCCAAATACCATGAATGAATACCTTAGACTAAAAGAAGGACGTGGAAGAAATTTTTGGCATGATAAATTAAGCCAAAACAGCAGCACTCCAGAGCCAGCAAAATTAGCACGAGCTGCCGCCGCTGCTGCCAGAGAGGACGTGTAAAAATGTGTAAAAAGTCGAAATGCGTCTGAAGAAAAGCTACAACATTGCCTGCTTTAGCAATCAATGGTGAATAGAAAGGCGGAGTTGGGTGTGGAAAAAGGAGGCTGTGCTAGTTTTGCGCAGCAAACAACTACATTACTTGGCTGAGTAGTTTTGCTTCTCGTGGCTGTACCATCTCCGTCACACTGACAACTGTGTGTTTTCACAAAATTGCTCGATTTAGCATCGTCCACAAGTCTACTTCCTCGATGTCTACGTGAAAATGACACGACCAGCGTTGTTTTGGAGCGGTTTGAGTTGGCACCAGGTCACTTGTTATCCACGAATGTTAATTTACGAAATGGGCCACCATCACGAAACCCACATATACCAGCCTGTGTGTGTATGTGTGATGGTAAACAGACTATGGCATGCCCGTGTGCGCGGCACTGACTGAACCACCAAATCGGGTGAATCTAAACAACTATGGCCCGCCGCCGATCCTAGTGACCACCCAGACGCCAAAGCCCTTTGATTGTTCGAAGGCGCAAACACGAATTGGTGAAGTTCAGGGAACACCATGTTTCCCTCATGTTCATGTCCTCACGACAAAATTTCCAGCCAACAGCGCAGGTTACTTGACGCCATGCGAACAACGCTGACTACTCCTTCAAGAGGAGGAAGCAGAGTACACAAACGAGCGTCGTGATATCGTTTGATGTTGCTTCAAGAAAATGGAAGTCGTTTTGGAAACATGGTGCTCCCTGAACTCCACCGATTCGTATTTGGGTGGTCACTAGAACCGGTGGCGTGCCACAGTTGTTTAGATTCACCTGATGTGGCGGTTTGGTTAGCGTCGCGCACACGGGCATGTCACAGTCTGTTTACCGTCACACATACACACACAGGCTGGTGTATGTGGGTTTCGTGATGGTGGCCCATTTCGCAAATTAACATTCGTGGATAACAAGTGACCTGGTGCCAACTCAAACTACTCCAAAACAACGCTAGTCGTGTCATTTCCACGGCTGCGCAGATCTCTCCACGTAGACATCGAGGAAGCATAACTTGTGGAAGATGCTAAATCGAGCAATTCTGTAGAAACGCACAGTTGACAGTGTGACGGAGATGGTACTGCTCTGAGAGGCCCAGTTAATTTGTGCAGACAGTGGATTCTTCTTTCCCTCGTCATCGATTTTCTACGGATTACCAAAGCCCGCAATGTTGTAGCTTTTCCTCAGACACACTTCGACTTTTGCAGTTTGCGGAGGCATTAAAGAGAGCGGCACTGCTGCATTTGGACGCGATCATAAGTCTCTTTCCTACAACGGTGCAAATTATGCATCAACTTATTATGATTGCATGTTCCGTCAAAAGAGGATGATACGTGCGCATGCTCACACCCGCCAGCACTTTGCGTGACTGCAAACACGTTCCCTCGTAGTATACTTGGACTAATGGATGTTTTTAACCGAGGCATCATGCTAACGCCGGAGATTCGTTCCCCTCCTGGTGCTGAAAGCGGAGTGCGGCTGCGATGATGGCCATGCATACTGCATGACCAGTTCAACACCATGAGGTGCCTGGACCTCGGGGCGGGGGTGGATTCACATCGTCACGTAGACTGCTGCCCTGGAACGATGTAGTCATCGCATGAGTCAGCAGCACGTGCGCGCGTGACTTACTGAACAACGCACACTCGTGTCCAACCCACACCCACACTGCACGGAACATCACTGCTGCCTCGATTCTTCTTCGATTAATTCTCGCCAAGCCTGGCTTGCCCTCACACCCACCCCAAGTCACCCAATCGTGACGAGACGGTGTTGACGCAGACGCAAGGTAAGGGACAAGCAGGCGGAAAGAAACTGCGCCGCATGGGGCACTCACTTGCAAATGAAGCAGGAGTCGACGGACATGAGGATTTGCTTCTCCGAGTGCACGTGGTCCTGTTGCTTCGTCTGCACGATGTGGACCTTCTTCATGCGTTTCAGGGCAAACGATATCGTGCTATCGTTGACTGGTCGAACCTGCAAAGTTAAAGAGCAGTTGTTAGTGTCCGTTGGTACAACAGGAGTGCACTGCAACCCGCAAATACAAATTCGAGGCACTTGGGACGTCAAAAGTTGATGGGTTGCCTCTCCCCGCGTCAAGTGGCAAGCTGCCGGGGAATCGACGCGACTGACAAGGCACACAGACACACACCGGTAAAGACAGGTATTTGCCGAGGAAGAGTTGAGGATGGGACATCCCTTCTTTTTCTCAAAATCTAGTTTAATACAACCACTGTGAATTCAGCAGAAAACTAAGCCCTAGTGCGTAAAGTACTTCGGGCAAGAGAAAAAAGTAGGTTGGAAAGTTAAACAGGGAGGAGCTGTTGCGGCTACAGCCTTTCCCGATAGCGCAAAGAAAATTGTACTCCCTCCTGTTAAAGGTGTCACACATTGGCTGGCCGAAATGCGGAACTGTGGCCGACGTCTGGAGGAAACAAAACGGTCTCCAGCACTGCTTCCTGAAGTGGGTGCACGCATCCACCACGGACTCCAGAGCCGTTTTGCCACAAAAATAAGAGGTTACGAGACAGCTTTGACGTGTTGCGGGGAGCCCAAACTCACTCCACGAAACGCAGGTTGTAGTGGCTTGTGAACCAAGCACTACCTTACAACCCTCTAGTTAACCCCCCGTAACAACCCGAGAATGGCGAGGAGAGGCGACAGAGGACACGACGGTTTACTATCGTCACGCCAGCCAAGTGTGTCTTAGTGTGTGGATGAGTGAACGGATGACAGGCGCCTAATACAGTAACCAATGAAAAGGAGATGAGTCATTGTCACCGTCAGGTCAGTAACCAGGGTTCACTCAGGCGCTATCGCTGTTAATCCGCTACAAGGTAACTCTTTGACACGAGTTATTCGGCAGGCTGATCATAAGGCGACTGGGGGCGCCGTGGACACAAGCGTTTACTCGACGGCTCAACTGATCAGTGAAGTGTTTTTGAGTTGTGCGTGCGCAGACGAACCCACATGAACGATGGCTTAAGTATAACAACACGATTCGTCACACAAGGAACACTCATTTAGCAACGGCGTACTGATGATTGTAAAAAGTGGTGCTTTCACAAATGTGATTCTTGTCTTAAGTTTCGGTAAATAAGACTAAATAGAATCAAGAAGAGACTGCTGAGAACAATCAGTCCCTTACCAGGGGTCCAGAGGGGGTTTGAAGTAAACTTTTACGCAATATTGATTGATTGATTAACTCCATTTATTCAACAAGAACTGACGACTTAATGGGCCAGCTTCTGTGTGCGGTACAATGAACCGCAACTTGACAGGTGCTTGAAGGCAAAGCAAGCTCAACTCACCAACTCAACACGCCCAAAGCCACCCTGACCAATCACGGCAACGCGCTGAAGGTCATTGAGACGAAGCTTAGCGGCCACTTCGTATTCTCGTGCGTAGAGCTTTCGTGAAGGTACTGTCGTGGTCTTGGCGACATCTGCAGCCTGCTTGACCTCGCGTTGTCCCAGCAAGTGGTCCAGAGAGGTCGAACCGGTCGCGGAAGTCAGCGCGACTGTCGGATCGTCCTCGTTGAGTTTGAGTGGCTGTCCGTCCTTCAACTGACCGCTATGGTGTCATTTTGGCAGAAAAAAGGAAACAGCGGATTTGTTAGGACGTAGGCCGGACACAGTGGGGCATCAGGCAGCTTACAATGTCGACTGGACAGCGAGCTGACGCATTTCTATCAACCATAATCATGAAGGCAAATCTTTGTCGTGGACGCCTTTACGTTGCGTCATGAACAGGCGTCGTTTCGATGGTTGAGGGGAATCCAGTAAGAAGTGGTTTGGCAGATGTAAAGGCGTCAGATTCGAACACACCAAGTTGGATAACGGAACAAAATTACCACCAGAAGTCACTGAATGGAACTAGGCTGCTACCCAATTAAATGAAGTTACAAAATGTGGGCGCGTTTAACGAGGGAATGTGACAAAACATACCCGTAGGACTGAAGATGTTCCAAATCGACGTATTCCTTGTGTTGCAAGTCCGCAATGTTGCCCATCAATTCGAGGAAATCTCTACAAGAACGAGAAGCACCAATAAGATTTTCCCTTTAGACCGGTGGTAAACTAAGGTGGCAGGAAACAAAAACAGAGGGGAGGAGGGGGCTAACTCACTTTCTGTACAGACACAGCAACTCCACACCACCCGGAGAAATGGCGTAGATGTTGGCTGTCCTACGTCCCTCACCCAAGAGCGCCTTCTCCCCGAAGTACTCGCCCTTGGTCATCCGACGAATCTCGATCTCGTTCTGCAAGCCGTCTTGTCCAACCACCTTCATGGTCACGCGGACCTATTCAAGGGCATGGGACAAAGCGAGTTGGGATACACGCACCCAGGTAATGCGGATCGTTCGAGTTGCAAGACCAGAGGCACAGAGGGATTCGTTTTAGCCAATCACAGGTTGATACAGCTGACAGTTTACCAGTCATCGAGTGAAATGTAGTCTTGCGAACACACAAAAACCACCTAACGTTAGCCACAGTTTACTCTTGGACCTAAAGAGTAAACCATCTACCATCGCACAGGAATGCTTTGGGACGCTTTTGACAGCATAAATCGTAGAAAATTGTGACATTTGATTACACAGCCCACTGACTATCCTGACTGGCACTTATTTGGGATCAAAGGAGGCACTAGGGTAGCAGTCTTGACCCTCAACCTTACCTCGAACGGACAATGATGAAGCCCGTAATCGTTAAAGAGGGATTAATCACACTAAATCGATGGTAAAGTTTTGCACGCAGCTGATACATTGCATTAGAAAGTTAAACATGCACCCTTTTTAAAACCTGCGTGATTGCTTGAGATCAGAGCCCGTCGCATTTTAAAAGTACAGTTCCTTCGTCTAGCAATTTCGAGGCGAACCACGCGGTTTTAATCGCTGGCCAAAACGCAGACGCGTTCACCTGCTGGCCAAGTGTGTACGGCTGCGTGTGTAAAAGCCGCGCGTAGACTTCACCATTGACTTAGCCAGAAATCGTGTGAATCTTGTGCTAAGGGAAAATTTCCCCTTATCACATCTGGCACTGATCAGACTCGGTTTGTTACAAGCCAGTGATGGCCTGGCGTGCCAGAGACAAAGGGGGCGTGAGTATGTCTCCGGCATCCTGTCGGTGAATGGCGTTCAAGCAATTGTCGTTAGAGTGCGACTTCATTGAAAGCCGTGTGTTGGGTTTTTCGGGTTGCGTTTGATACATAAATTGTGGGCGCTGAAGGAACAATGCAATTACCTCGCCAGACTGGATGATGAAGAAGCTGTCGGCCTGCTCGCCCTGTCGAATGATGCATTCGCCAGCTGGATGGAACTGCGCCTCCAGGACGTCGGCGATTCGTTCGAGTTGGCCGTCATCGAGATTTTTTAAAAGAGGAACACTTGAATTTAGAAAAATAGGGGTCACTGAGTAAGTACAACGTTGGATGAACACTGCGCCAACCATTCAAATCGCGTTTCGGACGACCTGTTCTAAGTTTGAACCTGGTTCAACTACTGACCGGACTAAAGCCCCATTGAAGGATCACAAAGCGCCGGTTTAAGTGGGTGCCAACGTTCACTGACTAACCAAAACCCACGCTGCTTTCCTATCGCTACTGTTAAACACACTCTGGTCGACTTTCTCTCTGTCTGCAACAAGTCGAATACTGCGGTTTTTTGACATTGAAAAGAACAAAACAAAGAGTTGACTCGCCTCGAAAGGAACTTGACGCGTCCCTCCATCTTCTCGAGACCGGTCTTCATCATGATGAACTGGAAGATGCTTCGTTCGAGCACCCAGATGCGGGCAGCCCTTACGGCTGAAATGGAAGTCGGGGAGTAACAAGAGTGTCTCAAAGAATCTGGTGGATGCGACGGGGACTACACCAAAGGAATTCGTGACCCCAATATTGAAATGTTAAATGCCTTAACACAGACGCTCAAGCTTTATTTTGGATGTTTTACGGATGTATTTAAGGCCTCCGTTTTATCCGGATGCTAGGGGCGTGGACACATTGGGCGTCCGAGCTGGAACACGCAAAGACGTCGCCACAGGCGTCGTCAGGGGGACAACCAGACCTGGCGACATCGCACAGACTGACAGTCCATTGAGTCGACGAGCGTCTGCAGGTAATGAGTCAGCAAGTAACTGACACACCGACACGCCGTACAGTACAAAAACCCGAGGGACAAGACGAGTAGCTCACCTTTGATGGAGGCGGTTCGCTTGCAGTTGTACAGGAGAGCTAACTCGCCGAAGCAGTTGCCAGGACCCATCGTGTATAGGTACTTCCCGTTCTTCCACACCTCGTACTCGCCCTCTGAAATAGAAGCAAGACGCTTAAGACTTCCAGATGATGTCAATGTATGACCAAACTCGCAGCTACATGTCCAAAGGCGGGTGATTCTATGACTTTGTTTGTCGAGTTGCCCTTCAACCAATAACTCTGCTTGCTGATACTACAAATGTCACCTACAGATAGTCCAACCGATGTGCTAAAAAAGTCTATTGAATGATGATGATGATGATGGTGGTGGTGTGGATTTCGCGTCACGGGAACCAAGTGTCTGGTTTCACCATCCTTCCAACTCTATCACGAGCATTAGCCAACATTCTTGAAAAAAACATCCTACCATCGAATACCACACACTCAGGTATAGCTGGATGCTGAGGTGGCTAAGCAATCCAACACGGACACCAAACAATCAACCCCTCCACTAAAATTCATCCAATCAACACTGGACACAACGCGAGCAGATTTGAGGACAAGACGAGTCGAAAATGACCTCGGAATCTGTCGACCCTCCTGAACCTCTTTTCACCCGAGGAGGGCAAATGCTATCCGTGGTGTTCGTTCGCCGGAAAAGTCATGGAACGTGGTGGCTCCTCCAAGTCGTAAGAATAGCGACTGCTCGACGACTAAGACAGGCAACATGGAAGCAGGGAAGCGAATTCTCACTGAGTAATTAAGTTCGGGCGCATTCTTCTAACAATCTTTGTTGCGATTTCTTGCGTTGTTGAGGGGAACCGTATTGCAGAGGGAAAGATATGACTTAAAAAGTCTTGAAGTACAACAAAATGACAGATTAGGCAAAATGTAGCCGGAAATAATGAGGTTGGGGAATCATGTTAGGCAGTACTGCATGTGTTTCGGCCCGAGCTTCCTCAAGACGCATACACTTTTCGAGTACTTGCGCGAAGAGAAGGGAGAAGAGGTGGAAGAGGAGATGCGGGGGTAGAGGGAGGAGGGAGGGGTAGAGGGGGAAGGGAGGGGTAGAGGGAGGAGTGGGAGAAAAGACTATTTCCACGCTGTGGTCTTACCAGCTGCGACGTAGAGGTGATGACCGTCTTCGCCCTCGCGTATGATGTAGCAGCCCTCGACAATGCTGTGCTCGTACATGCAGGAAACAATCTCCTGCAACTGGACGGCATCCAAATTCTTTAAGAATTCGTTGTTGCGCAGGGCATTACGGATTTCTTGACGGGACCTAAACAGGTAGGGAAACCGTTAAGGTGGCACCACAGCAAACGTGGCTTGGGAGACCACGAAATAATTGATGACCCTAAAAATTGGTTTAAAAAGGTAGTGAGGAAAACAGATGACAGAAGCTATGAGGAGATGATAATGAGACGAAATTAGACAAAGAGGATGACTTCTTCCAAGACTTCGAAAAGGCCTAGATGTTAACTTTTCAAAAACCACCGATCCAGCCAATCCAAAGCAAAGTAGACAAGTTCACAGATTGGTGTTAAGTTTGGAGCCAAGGGGAATCACCGGATTGGTTGGTTTTAGTTAACCGACAAATCGAATGTTGGTGGATTAATAAGGTACTGAACGCCGGGAAACATGACACCAAATCACATGTCGGTGATAAATAGTTGGCAACTGTGGCAGCGAAAAAAATGTATCGTGGTGAGGACTCGGGAAAATCGGCTGATTTTTTCAAGATTGTCCTTGCTGAATGCCGACAACCCGTGATTCACGATTAGCGACATCACTCAGAAAGGGATTGTATAGCTTTTAGAAGTTGTCCTGAACCGTGCCATTATTATTAGCTTCATCTTATTGAAATTGTACAACTTTGTGAAAAATATTCTACGGTTTAGGCGTCAGCGACCATTGCTGTGCATATCAAATATTGGGAGCTTTGGACCAATCAAAATACGACCGAGTGTTCTGTCATTGATGCATTCGCCGTCCAATCACAGCGCCGCAACAGCGCAAGTGAACTTGACCATTGAACGCGTCTATCACCTCCTCACCGACCCACGATAGGAGACCAGTCCACAAGGCAGCCCCTGTACTACTTCGGGAGATAAGTAATCAAATGGATGCCCAATTTGGCGGCCTTCTCATCAACGCCGAGTTCAAAGTGGAGCGACATTATCTGGCACGAAATTGGCGTAAGACAGCCGCTAATGGCGTGCGCCAACACCGCTATCACATCACGGTTGAGGGGTTTGTGGACTAGTGTCACACAAAAAAACTTACACCGGTTCCTGTTCTTAGTCAAGGGAAAAAGGCAACATGCTTCTCTAATGTATACTTCGGTAGTGTCGGGTTACCTAGGAATAAACACGCCAAGCGAGGCTGGGACGTGGGAATTCGAAAATGGCCCAATTTAAACCGGGTTTATCCCGAAAGCAGGCGATTGTGCAGTTGGCCAATCAAATGACAAGATGAATAGCGCTTTGCCAACACAATCGCTGGATAGATTCATGAATTGAAGGCGGCACAAGCTAGGGTCTGTTTCGCGCCGGAAACCCCCAGAAAACGGAAGCGCTCGCCTTCAATTCCTCGCCACAAAAGCGGCCGTTCAAAGTCACCTGGAATGTACTAGGCTAAATCTAGTGGAAAAATACTGACACATACTGAAAATTTTGAGAACGCGATCCTAAGACAGTGTCAAAAGGTCACATTCGGTCCAGGTTGGGGGAAAAAACGGCGGCACAATTAGTTGATGTACCTATCATGAATCAAGGTGGGTACAGGACATGACTCAGAACACAGTCCAGGGAATAAAGACCTCGTCACTCACTTGGCATCCTTGTCGTAGTACTTCATTTCAACCGGCGCGACCGACTGCATGGCCATGGTGGGTTCGGCGGAGACGCCGAGACGCTTGCTGGGCACGGCAGGCGCCGCGAGAGGCCGCAGCGGTGAGAGGGTGTCGCCGCTGGCTGCGGTGGAGCTGTCGGAGGCGTTGTTTTGCTGCTTGTCGTTTTCCAAGGCACCGGAGACGCCTTGTCGGATGGAGGAGGCACGAAACAGATGCTCGGCTATCGCTGGAGGATTCTGGCGACAACAAGGCGAAATAGTAAGTTAGTTAGTCAGGCGACCTAGCTCAAGTGAACAGCGATGATTCATGCCCGTTAGCCCTGTGCACAGGTCCCTCTGTCACTCATACCACGCCATTCAGGTGCTTGTACATTTACTAGTTCACTCGAACCCCATTGGTCAACAATCGTCATCTTTAGTCTCTTTAATACACCCGGGTATCCGCATGCAGTGGCGTTGTCCTTGACCTATATCGATGCTTCTACAACCCCTCGAAATTCAGTCCGCTGTCTTCGGAGGCAGCAGAATCGACCACAACAGGGATCTAGTCTGACACAAGGTATCTCGCCTATAACTCGGTTATAACAGCAGCATTTGGTGGAAGTTCTTTACACACACACACACACACACACCTTCTTCCAGGTATCGCATTCCGAGATGTGCTGCTGCAGGACAGAACTGAGTTTCTCCACCTCCAAGTGGAGTTCATCAAGTCGACGATCCTTCTCCTGAATGGTCGCCCTGAGCTGCATCAACTCGGCGGGCATGTTGGGGTCCATTTCCCTGATCGGAGTGGCTAGGGAGGGGACTGCGGGGTTGGCGGCAACGTTGTTGTTCGTAGGGGGAAGAGGAGCGGGTCGGTGAACGGGCGACGACGGTGTGGTCGATTGTGTGGTTGCAGTCGGCCCGCGCTGTTGCAATGTCGCTGATCCACTACCTAAAGGAGACTGACCGGAAGAGTCGCAGCTGGAGTTAATCGACCGACCCTGGTGGCAAAAGTGAAGGCAACAACACACTTCAAGAGAGGGATTTGAGTCCCGCTAGGATGGGGTAGACGGCTTCGTGAAGCTGCGCCCCAACACACACACACACATACACATAATTTAACACCTTCAAGTATTGATTCAAAAGTGGGACTCAGACAATGCGTTGGTTACAGCATGGTCCTAAATGAGCATAATTGATCGGATCTCAGTGTAGCAGGAAATCTTATCAGAACTTTAATGAAACTTTTATTTTCTGGCTCCCAATTACACCTTTGTCTAGTGGAGTTAAAATTCCCACTCCTGAAGTCTCACGCTTGATAACTAAGGCTAAAACAACCTCATAAAATTTCGTGGTAAGCCATGTGCACACAACCCATTAAATTGCGTTTAAAAGTACATCCTGCTCAGCACTATTAGTTCCACATTAGTAGCGTCATTAAGTGTGCAGCTAATTACGGGTGCAGCAGAAGTTCACGTGTGGAGTTCGGTTCACAAAAACAAACCGATCGTTTTCTTGATGCTAATTCTCAATAGGCGTGAGGGAAAAACCACATTAGATGAAGACATGGAGGTGCAAACGGCAGCGAAAGGAACAGCCAATGAGCGGGTGACTAAGAGGTGTTTTCCAGGCTACTGGCGTGTTGTGTAACTAAATCTGACAGTGCACCGGTTCAGGAAACAGCCCGGTCAGTTCCAAGCGGAAAAGGGAGGTACAGGTGCGCGGTCGCTAAGTGTGGATTTCGAGGGAATTGTCAAGTGAGTTTATGGGGATGGACTTGAATGCCGTGCATGCTATTGACGAAGGCAGGTTTGCGTGAGAAAAAGAATCACTAAATTGGCCAGGCCCGACACTCGCGATGTGCATTCGATGTGTGTCTAGGAATGCAAGAGATTCGTCGAGGAACAGCGAGAGTTTTCACGTGACGCAACAACTCTACACGCCAACATGGAAGACTCTCCCTAATGCAGTAATTACTGTCACTTGTGGCGCATCGAATACATCCGCAGTACATTACCAACTCTCAGGTCATACCTAAATCAGGTGACCTCAGCTGATTATATTAAACTTTGGCATACAACACAGCGACAACAACTCGAGAGAGGAAACTTCTGCAACCATTGGGCGATCGATAACGCGTGATCCCGCGTCTCCTAATTTGGGGATTCCTCCCCGATGTGTTGAAAAACACACAGGAAATGGTGTGCGAAAGCGAGTTGCCTGCATGAGAACGCAGGAGAAGAGTAACAAGCAAATGCTAAAAATCACGCTGGAGATAAAGATGCCACAAATCTGTTTAGGCTACCCCGACTGCCTGCTAAAAAAAGCGATTTAAGCAAACAGCTTGAGCGTGATAAACGAGGAAGCGATGGTAATACGAGTGTCTAGACGCATTACAATAGGCAACGCATGGTTAGGGAGGGGATTAGGGGTTAGCTACAGCGATTGAGTCTGATTTGAGAGGAATTGTGTTTGAAAAAAAAAGATGACCAAAGAGGTTGCTTAAAAAACCTGAAACTGCAGGCAATTTCGAGTTTACATTGCCATGACTGATCTGCTAACAAATTAAGCGTTAGAAGCTGCATCCTCGAGGAAGCAAAAGCAAGCGATTTGATTGGACAAAATCCATCTACCACATTCTGGTGATGAGGTGGTACAAGTTGGTAGGCCTCTCCATGCCCTACTCGAAAACAATGTCCAAATTCATCATGCAATACACACAAGTGACAGCCTCAGTGGCACCGATAATATTCGACGTCTGCGTATCCTCTGTGACTCCTTCGTGGGGAAACCCCATGCTACCAGAGATGTTCCCCTACTCCCCGATTTCGGGGAAGGGGTGTGGGGGACACGAGAAAACAACTTGCCTAGAGATCAGCGATAGTTCAATTAATTCGAAAATTGATTTTGAAAAGTCCAGGGCCACATTTCGGCCAACAGAAGGCACATCAAGAAACTGGGGATTCAGGCACAGGACCGACAGATCTTATTGGTTAAAATTATAGAACCTCAATAACCATTTACACGTCCTTTAATATGACCCGCAAATAGGACATTTTCGGTGTTCTAAATATCCAGAAAAGGTAAACAAACAGGTAGTGAACGAGATTGATGGGTTGGATGGCCACAAATTGTGCTGATCAACTGATTTCAAGGTTATTTAGTACACAACGTCAGCCTGTGGGGGAATCAGTTATTCCTGAGCGTGTTTGCGTATGTTAAGGTAAATACGTGATGAACAAGTAACCATCGATTATGCATCAAACATTACGGTTTAAATTCACAGCAAAAAAGGCGAAGTATATCACAATTTTGAAAGTAAAATGTCAGTGTTCTCTAAACGCGACAATTCAGATAGCCGAAGTTGTTAGGAAACCTGATTTTGGCCAATCCACGAACGATAGGGTGAATTCTGAGTTTCACTTTAAAACGGTGTGTGATGTTTGAAACCGCGAACACTTGTCTAACAGTGCTGTTAGGGCATCACATTAACACATACAAGGATTCGTCTGGAATGCATCTTTCGCCTCTTCAAGAATACGCAAATCAAGCACGCCAACAGAAACAAGGCAGGCAACGACTTTCAGAAGAACGCATGCTCTGGAATCGACAGGTCAACATAGACAGCAGCATGCTATCCAAGGTACAAAAGTGGAAGATTACAAAACAAGGCGCTGCGCGAGATCGTGTCTGCATCTCGTCACACAGGTTGGTTCGTTTGACGCTTCCAGGGACAAAATCGCCGTTTATTCTTATTAAATGTTTGAAAATCCCACCGATAATAGCGTGTTACAGCACTAAATCGAGGTTTGAGAAACCTCGGGTTTTCGAGGCACGAAGGTGACCTCAATTTCGGCAAAACTGAGGTCGTTTGTTGACGCCAGCAGTTGGAACATGTAAGCCAACACAGTCAATCAAGTTGTCGATTTCGCGTGGCGCGCCGAATCAACGGGAACATGCTAAGAATCAGCCCATTGGTGGTCTATAACTAACTCAAATACACCGGGGTTTGATATAGCCAATGTTTTTCTATGCGGGAGGCAAATGTTGGATACGGGGCTCATAGTTGCAGATGAATCAGTCACTAGAAGTTCAACGATTCGGCATGATCTCGAGGAGCTAGCTATAACTCCCAGTTCAACTCCTGTGCAGTGCGATTCTCCATCATCGATCGACAATAATACGGCTGAATTCCCAGTGTTTTAACCATGCAAGTGAGAAAGGGTGCTTGTGCATGATTTAAGGTATGCGCAAAATCAACTGCAATTTCTCGTAAGCAAGATGAATTTGGCATTTGCGACGGCAGATGATCGCACAATAACACTGCGTGAACACGTACGAACGGAAACGACGCCCACCTACGGTGAAAATGGATTAAAACACAACACGACGGTTGCTGCTAATTACGACAGGGCAGTGGCTGAAAATTATGTAGTTTTGGATCGCCTTGGCTGTGCAAAACAAACGAAACTGAATTAATTACTCTGCTGGTTATTAGAAATCAAATTTACCCTGTAGAAAACTAGAATTTTGCGTGAGCATCTGATAAACGCTACATTAGGCTAGGAGGCTGGAACGTGCTGCAAAGAATGCAAATCCCTACATCGGCCGAAAACAATGGCCGAAAAATGTAACAACTCAACCGTAGCTGGCCAGTACAAAAACACACATACACACGCCTCAAAAAGCGTGCCCTTCCCCATCCAACAAAATGGTAATTTGCACACAGGAGGTGCAGAAATCGACTCGAGAACTGGCGCCCAGTTGACAATTATCGCACTAATGCAGGATTTGGGGAGATTTAACCAAGACTACCGATTCTCAGCTGAGATAAGTGATGTTTTTGTGGTCGCCTTTCCACAAGCCCGCCTGTTTTGCGGTTCGGTAGGAAATCCAACTGCCCCTCGTTATTACACGGGGTAATGTGTGCAACCATGTACTTTAGGTGTGAAGTGCCCCAAGCCAAAAAGTGCTGCATAGGTAATCAGGCGGTCGAAGGCACCAACTGTGGCAATTAGGCGGGGCGAATAAACTGGTCTGAGTGAACCTGTTGTGAATCGTGTTTACTCACACGCCTTAATCCGGTCGCTCCACCACCGACACAGGGCTCCCCTACTATTCGCAGCATGTCCCCAGCCGCGCGAATCCTCAACTCCCCTCTCATTCACACGGATATTTATTTTGGATCATTCTCACACCCAGGTCTCGATGTTAGTGCATGTATGACTCACACATCCGAGGTATAAATACACACACGCAAACCCCAACCACGACACAACGACACCAACGTGGTTGACCTCTGAAGTAAACGGTTGTGTCCACGTCCTCTCCGGTCTTTTTCTTCATCGCGGGTATCAGGCAAGCGTAATCGGGCCAGGGTTAATTCCGTGGCCCCGGCGTGGTTCAAGACCACATGCTAGGGCCCACAACAAACCCATCGCCAAGATCTCACGGGTTCCTCGTCACAAACTCGTGGGAATGAGGTTTGCCCGTGCAGCCATCAAGTCAATCAGACGAGTTTGCTAGACTTTGCCGTGCAAACTCAAGTGAAAGCCGCGTGTTTCCGATTCGCCTGACTGAACGCAGTGGGAGTGCAGTGCTAGAGGACTGCTCACATGAACAAATGAAGCATGCCTTGATTTGAAAGATCTGTCAATTATCCAACAAGGAAAATTGAAACTCACGTAATCACGTGAGGGAAAGGCTAGTTGTAACAGAACGACTGTTCAAGCCCCACGGAGCTGGCTCTATCTCCTTTCGACAGGGTTGGTGGTGACGTCAGAGAACGTGGGATCCAGATCGTGTCCCCCCTCCTCGTGTGAGCGCAAACACCGCCTCCGCATACACGTAAACTAGGAAGGCGTCTGCAACTCCAGAGACTAGTGCGTTAGCACGAGGCAATCACAGCGCACCTAACCTTAAATGCACAGCTCTGGCTAGGCTGGAGGTGGTTGCGCAGGACAACCTGCCCAGGGCACGGGTGATCGGGGTGAGTCACACCATCAACAACCAAAAAACGCACCATCTAACCCGTCCTGATGTGGCCGACCTCCAATTCGCACGGAAAATGCACCCACACATCTGGGCATGTGAACCAAACCGGTTTATTTAAGCATAACTTTAAGCGGACGAAGGGCTAGGTCTACGAATAAGTCGTCAACCACCTGCTCGTTGGACGCCCATAAAGAATCTCTAAATTCCCCTCCACTCTTTTGATGTGAATGAATTACAAAAAGAACTTTGCAAAAATCTACTAAGCAAGACATCTGATTTGAGAAGCCAAAAGTATCGAAAGATATTTTTAAAAAAAAGTTCTTTTTTAAGGCAATCTCTGGGCAGTTCGTAAAACACCGGGTGACTGCTTGCTACCTTATCACCATTTCCGACCCTGCTACCAACCCTTAATGGCTAATTATAGTCCCCCTTCCTTTCCAAACAAACTAAACGGCAGGTTTGCCTGATGTTACCAACATCTGGCAGGCAGGAGTTCGCTCATTTTACTGGTTACTCGGTGTGGGAGGAAAAGGCGACTTGGGTTGTAACAGCCACAGCTGAGAGCCATAAACAGCCTCCACACTGAGCAGGCACAGGCTCGGAGAAGAGACATTTCATCTTGGCAAGCAGCACAATCAGCATGGCAATGATGCAAGGCCGACTAAAGTGACGGGTTATCGTGTGTGTGTGTGTGTGTGTTGTGAGAGCGTGGAAGAATAAACCGAGCACAGAAAGGAGGTTCTGAAACATCCCCATCCCAAAAAAACAACAACAACACGTGAATGTCGTCGGTTTGAACACCGAAGTAGCCGCCCATTGCAAAAAGGAATGCTTTTCTCTTCGTGGGACTGGATTGATCACAAACTGAGGTCTTAAATTTCGAAGATTCGAGAAAATCCACAGTGAAGAATACGGGGGGATAAGACAGTTCAATGACACGTCTGGTTCCTTCCCAGAACCACCAATCACCGCTCATGAAGGCAACAAAGCCTTTTGAGGTGACATGGCGGGCATCACTGTCCACAAAAACAACCTTGAGGTATGTGCATTACAAGTATATTAAAACAAGTTAACGGTCTAATTAACGCAGCTTTAAAAATGACAGTTTAACTCGTAATGCAGCAAGAAACGCGAGAGTGCAAGAGGGTAATAGTGAATTAAGAAGACACGGGTGATTGCTTTAGTGATAAAAACATCACTTACCCCGCTGAAACTGTCAATCGCGATGACTATGCAGTACTTTAAACTGAGAGGTCTTGTCGCCTGGTGAAAAGCCACACACACCCAATGGATGCGAGCGAGCCTGTGTGATAAACTGTCTCAGCCAATAGGGAAAGTCGGATCAAGGCCGAGAACCAATAGGCAAGTGCACGTTCACGTCGACTCCAGCTGTTCACCTAATGGGGCAATCCGACGCACGTGCTAGGAGCGGATGTGTACGCATTGATACACACACACACACTTCGCTTAACTAAAACACACACACACACACATTTACATATTAACAGCCCTGTAATGCGTCGAATCCACACAGGCGATGCTATCTGCTTGCGAAAAGGCATTATTAAAGTCGTAATTCAAGGCACTTGGGGAATCAGTCAACGGCGAAACCCCGTGCAGGCTGCATCCAGTGGGGTGCGATCGTAGAAACGACTGTTTTAGTAGAGACACGAAATCCCAGCAGACGGTAGCTGTGATGGCGTCAGGGTGATGACTCAGCTACTGCAGAGTGTATACATGTGGTGGGCGAGGTGAAGTGTTGTTTAAGGCCCTTTTTAAATTGTCAAACATGATACCTTGGCCTTAACAATGCACGTGACAACGAGTAACGTCGGAACGTGGCCTGGGTAGGAAGTAATAAACAGAGCCTACGCAGGTGCAAGAGTACATTGAGGGCTTTAGAACCGATTCCAAGGTTGTTTACGACGATGGGCCGTAGCGAAGCCAATGAGAATGCACAACGCCATCTGGTAGGGCTGATGTCACGTCAGCCAGATGGTAGTTGCTACGATGCTAAGCTGATGACGGCGTCAACACGGAAAATCGTCAAAGGGGAATGGACAGGGTGGAAGAAATCGCGGAACGACAGGCGACTTTTAAATTGTCGTTTGATATTGCCCTGCCAGCTGTTTCGGCAATTCTGTAGATTGGTTCAATCGGAAGACACTTTTTAGACAGAAAAACACATCAAAAGCACAAATTTAAATCTGCTAGGCATTGAATACACAACTTTTGTTTGACATGTCTTTATTCTGGGGGGGGGGGGGAAA